ATAATTTCGCTCGCTGGTACGTGCCGGCGCGTTTAATCCTCTGCAACCAGAATCTCATTGATTTACAAGAGAAAGAGATCATTAGTTGATCGTAGTTATTTACTCAGGTTTAAAGGGAATTTAAATTAATTGAAGGTTTTACGAATTAATAATTATCATATGTAAATTTGCATTCTTGCAAGAACGATAAGAGTTTGTTTCAGCTATTAAGTATTGTGCATGTTTTATATCTAAATTTATAGCGTTTATATCTAAATTTATAGCGTATTATATCTAAATTTATAGCGTTTTACATCTAAATTTATAGCGTTTTATATCTAAATTTTCTATAGATGGATATTGCATAAAAATCAGAATTGTACAAAAATGTAATTGTATGAAAATTGTTTTGTGTACGACAGTGTTCGACGTAGAATTTATATGATAATATTTATATTATTTCATATTATAATATTTATACTACTTCATATTATAATATTTATATTATTTCATATTATAATATTTATATTATTTTATATTACAATGTACAAGTTTCAGGTTATCCGATATCACAGAACATTATGTCTTTTATCAAAATCGACATCAAAGAACGAGCAATTTGTTTCGTATATAATAATTCACCGTGCAAACTGACATAATATCTCTACGTCTGACAAGAGTTTATATACAGTTTTCTCGTAAAGCGAGCATCTCTCTTTTATTCTTTCTTTTTCCAATCTTCCGGTAGCGAAACATGCAACGAAGTCTGAAAACTCTTTAAAAAAATAATATAGGAGAGCGCGTGACGCAATGGAAACTCATGGAAAATTAATTGCAGCTCCGAAGGTTGAAAGCTTCGCGTTTGCCTTTTCAAGTATAAAATTTCAAGCACGTGGAATTTAGTTCTCACTCGAAACAATTATTCGGCCGGTGAAGAGCTTACTGATTATCGTTTTATATTTCTCTATTTCAATATACCTCCTATATGTAACATGTGATTTGAAATATTCCAAATTTTCTAAATTACACCGTGTGATCTTTATATGAAAAGATATTACGATTTCATAACATTATGAAAATTTCTTTTCACTGAAAATTTCAATATTGTTCTATCTATCCTCAAGATTTTGATAATTAATTGTACCATCTTCCCTCGAGCAAATTCGCAAAAATTTTCTCCAAACTTCGCAAAACATCACGGAATAAATAAATATTCTTTGAAAAAATCTCTTTCCTTAAGTTTACACTTTTGTGAATGGAAAGTAGACAGAAATACGAGATATTATTTTTGTATCCCTTTTTGAACAGAATTTTCATTAAATTTTGATAAACACATACCTGATTCTATTGGGATGCAAAGTGAATGCAGATAGATATGTCATCTGCTGTTACTTTCTCAAACTTGGAACACTGATCGAAAGCAAGCACTACTTACTTAAACGCGTCGAAAATCTCAATAGGGCGATCGTTAGGCAAGAGTCAAGTTTGCCCGATGCTAAAAGTTCGGGCGTTTATTTTCTGCCGTGTTTGGGGGAAGGGATGAAAAATGGCCGAGATAAACAGGGAATATCGGTTGGCGCGGCTGTGCATCGGCGCGGAGGGTCGTTTTTAGCATCAAAGCATCGAGCCTGACCTTGAACAATTTACGTACACCGGACATCCACCACGAGGTTAAAAGCGCTGGCAACCGGGTCGCGCTGAAATTCCCATAAATTACGCCGGCACTGTTACTCAATGCATCGCGAGAACCTTCTTTCAACGAATAAGTCGAATCAAAAAAGCCACGTGACACCGGTCGTGTCGTCGCGAAACCATTTCACGATCGCGATCGATGATATCGAAAAGTCCTTCGGATAAATATAGAAGCTAGCTCACACGACGTCAACGAACGACAATTTATTGCATCCCCCCTGAAATACGTAGCAACTCTCAGTTCTAGCTTTTTTATTCTGTTTCCTACGAAGAACAGTCCCATTAAAGGTTTGGCGAATTTGAGGAATTTTCGATCGACGTGACATGAATTTCGTTGGATCGAAATATTATTGAATTATAAAAGTACTTAATGAAGAATTGCGGGAGAGAAGTTTGAAAAAATTTTCCATAGGTGTTTCTAGTAGCTGTTTAAATATTTATCCTTGTCAAATATCTGAGACAGAATACTGAAAGATTATACAGGGTGTTTCTTAACTTGTGGGAGCTGATTGTACGCCTAAAAATAATGAAAAAAAGTCATATAAATGTATGTTCTATCTGTCTTCGTTTATGAGATATAATGAATTTTCTGTTTTAATTACTTTTACAAAAGATGCTCGAAATGACCACTTTGCATTTGAAGACAAGCCTCCACGCCTCTTGTCATTGATCTGATTACTCTCTCTATCATTCCTGGTGTTTCTCGAATTTGTCGGAAGCCTTGCTCTATTCTAATTCGTAGTATTTCAGCATTTTCAATCGATGTTGCGTATACAATAGATTTTAAATGTCCCCACAAATGAAAATCTAATGGATTCAAATCCNTCCTCTAATATTTCGTGTAAACGCGTGCTCAAAAAATCAACGTACTTTGTGCCTGTTAGTTTCCCATCAAGAAAAAAAGGTATAATTAAAAATTTATCAATTATTGCTGCCCATACGTTTAAACTAAACTGGTGTTGATGTCTTGAATGCACAATAACATGTGGGTTTTCTTCATCCCAATTATGATTATTATGAAAATTGAATATACCATCCCTGGTAAATCTAGCTTACTAGAGTTTGCTGTGTTTATAAAATTCATTATATCTCATAAACGAAGACAGATAGGACATATATTTATACACAATCAGCTTCCGAAGTGGGTCCAACAAGTTACGAAACACCTTCTATACTGTATTCTACATTAGTATTATTAGTATTACATATTTCAATTTGAAGAATTTAAGCTAATCGTATTGTATTACGAAACGAAGGGGTAAGGGAGATTTCAAATCTCTTACTAGCAAAGCAACTTTGCAATTTCATGATAAGTATCGATAACATCGATCGTCCTCGATGAGCTGCTCATCGTTTACGCTAATCTTGTTCGGTTGCTTCCTTGTTTTAATGCCTGCCTGAGAAACTTCCAAGCTTCAAACTTGTAATTGTAATTTGCTTGACTTCTGGCTCGAGAGCCACTTTGTCAAATGAAATCTTCCCGGGTCAGAGAATCTTTCGGCAAGTTTCCAATTACATCGTGATCCTTCAGCTGAGACGGTTCGACGTTCTTCAACGTGTTTTTAATTATTATAAAATGCCCTCGCGAGTCGGAGTTCGAAGTCCATGAAAATTGGACAGGGAAATATTCGATGTCTGAATATATTGCTTCTTGATTAAAGTTTTGCAACTTCGTTCAAAAATTTCCATTTCGTTTCAATTTCATTTTAATAGCTTTGCATTTCGTTCGTAGAAACGTTGCACATTTTTCAACGAATGGAACAAGCGAGTCAAGTGAAAATTATCAAGACTAATCTCTTACGCTGACAACTGGTTCGCGAACCATAACGAGCGACCGAACCGTATACAATAATTCGTCGCTTTTTTTTTCTTTTTGAACTCGCCAGTATGATATCACTGGATAGAAATTATTACGAAGTAATAAACTTATCACTTGTTTCGCCTGAGTTACATTTAAATATACTTAGAACTGAAAAAATATTGCGATTTGGGAGAAAAAATTCTCGACGTGCGTGGCACGTCATTCCAGTGCAAGAGGTTAATTTCGACGAATTCTGAAAGAAAAGAAATACTCCTAATTTACTACGAAATTTCCAGGATCGTAAAATCCTGTATAATTTCACCTAAGCTAACGCAACAAAGATACAGCACCCAACGGCAACTAATTATTAAAATGGTAACGAACAAAGACCAGAGAATAGTCGTCGCGTGGTCACGTGGTATCTTTAGCGATTCAATTGAAGGCGCGAGTCAGTCAATTTGTGCACGATACTCGACTCGCCCTGTCCCGTAGCAGGTGGAGAGATACCTGTCATGAAAGGGAAATTAAGGTTCATCGTGCCAACAAAGTGTCAATCTCGCGATGGCCTCCGCCGGCCTACACTGGCTGCACACGCGCGGCTCTACAACCGCGAGTAAAATACAAATACCGTGGTGCTCGCCGATGGTCAATGCCACGCAAACGTGAAGTACACGTTCCACGTGGGCAGTGACTAATGGTGGCCCATAAGCGCGGATCACCGAACGGAGCGCAACAGACCGAGCAACGTATCTCAGCTTGGTAATCTCGATGCCAAATGCCATACACGCTTTACCGCCACGTGATTAATGCCGCCTATTGGATGCTAGGACGATACTCTCTCTCGCTGGTTGAAACGCCGAACTTCGCCTCTTCTGCTCGCACGGACTCAAGTCTGTCGCTTCGAGCCTGTTATCGATACTCGAAGGAATATCTCGAGCAGAACACGAACCCGGACAGTTGTCAGTCTATCCTGGACTAGCGCGCGCGGTCATTTATCGCGGTATGCGTTCGCGGTGATCGATCGCTCGCCGAGTCAATCGATGGCAACGTTGGGAACTTGAATTTGAACAAACTGCCCTTTCAAGGAACAGGAATTCGTGTTGGAAAGTTACGCGAGAGATCTCTGGTTTTCTCGATCGAGAGAAAAATCTTCGAAGATGAAAAATGGACGGAAATGAATTTCGTTTAGCATGGCCACGAGGAAATATTTTTCTACGTACTTTGAGAAATGAATTTACTTCAATGGCGTGGATGTTTTGACATTCTCGAAGTTGATTGTTCAATTCGTCAATACTCTTGCAAAGGATAGTTGCTTATTTGTGAAAAAGGAATTGTAAAATTTCTCTCTCGACTCTTTCAAACTTCAGACGACAGAATTTGAACACATGTGGCGAGGAATTTTTTCTCATGAATTACTTTAGGTTAGATCAAATATCATTGCACGATATTATATTGTACTGTTTCTACAATTTCATGTTTAATCGAACAGGATATTTGAAATAGCATAAAATTGGAGAACAGAACTTACCGGCACCGTTCCATTCGTTTTCTCCGCGTCGTTGTTCTCCAACAGGGGGGCGCTGCTGCTCTTCCCACCCATTTCCACGCTCAGAGGTTCCGGTTTCAGTTGAAGACTCGCCGCAGAAGGGGAGGACGGTGCTCTAGGAGGTGTTTCCAATAATTCCCCAGAGCTCAGCGAACTGCTCGCTGTGGTGGACAAACCTGTCGATTAGAACATTTCAGAATATTATTCATTCGTCGGAGAATTTACGGATAACACGCTCGAAACGTCGTTACTGCGAATTTTTCTTCATTTTAAAGAATCAGAAGAAGGGCTTGTCTGAGCCGTATATCTACGCTTTGAAGAAGTATGAGACGATTTCGAAATGACACGAAGAAATGAATGAGAGACAATTGGTTGTTAACTGTTCGTGGGAAATTTTCAAAGATGTTTTGATGCTTCGAGCGCATTGACAGTGATTGATAAGAGCTCGTTACGAATATTCGTTTTTCGACATGATGTTTAACCTCTGCGCTGGAATGACGTGCCACGCACGTCGAGAATTTTTTTATCCCAAAATTGCAACATTTTCTCAGTTTTAAAGTATATTTAAATGTAACCCAAGTTCATTACTTTTTAATAATTTCTATCCAGTGATGTCATACTGACAGAGGTCAAAAGAAAAAGAAAGCGACAAATTATTGGATACGGTTCGGTCACTCGTTATGGTCCGCGAACCAGTTGCCAGCGCAAGAGGTTAAGAAGAAAGGATTTGAATCCCCACTGTGTATAAACATTATACAAACTCGTATTTTGCAGCAAACAGAGTCGAAAAATTTATCACACATTCGACAAGTTCTTAGCAACTTATTGATCTTCGTGAGTTATATATATATAAACGATCGTAGTAATTTACAACGTGTTAAATAAAATTTTATGTATCTGATTTCACGTTGTATTCTACATTTTCATCAGAATTCAATCCCTGATTATCCTGATTCCTAATGGTTCAATGGTGTCAATCAATGATTCGAAAAACCTCTCATTCCTTCATTACATTTCACGCAGCGATATACCTACAATTGCAACATACTCTTTCAGTATTTCAAATCTCTCCCCCCGATCAAACGTCGCAGTTAATTGCTTCGCAAACGAACGGCACAAAAGCGGACGTTTGACGTTGAATATTGAATATTGTGGAAAATGGCGTTCGAGCCATTTGCAATTTGCATGTCCCTTGAGAAAGAAAGAGAAAGAGAAAGAGAGAGAGAGAGAGCGCGATGTTTGTTTAGTGGCACGATTAGCACGGTTCCTGCGTCCTCTTAGTCGACGTCGTCGTTAATGAAACTCACACAGAGGCAGATTGTTCGGCCGAGGGGGCTTGATCCTCGGCAGGGTGTCGTCGAGGCCGCTGCTGCTGTCCACCGCCTCCTGCGAGTATCGATCCTCGATCTCCTTCGTCTGCGTGTGCACGCTCTCGCGTTTGATCCACACGTCCTGCGAGTGTTTGTCGTTCCTCGAGTTCAGTTTCGATGGCCGCCGCCGAATCCTCTCCCAGGTCTCTTTGCGGTGGCACTTGCCGGAGGACGGGGCTGCGACCGAGAACACGAACTCTTTGATGATGCAATGAAGCCTCGGGCCTGTTTGCAGGCTTGTTTTAGGTATTTGCAGGTGTTTGGTTTAGGCACGGCAGTAGCCTAAGTGTTCAAACACTCGTTGGATACGTCATGTAGAACATGGGAATTTGGAATTTTTCAGTGGGGAATGAAAGATCGGGATTTTTTTTTTTTTTTAACGAAATTACAATTAGATTATTATTACGTAAGATGATCGAGTCCATTTGAAATAACAGGACGCGGTGGTGATGGAAAATTGGAATCGCGTGATACGCTACAGTTCTTTTTGTCGAAGCATTAATAATCTCTTGACCCACCTAGTTTGAGGTTAAGATTAATTCTAATGTAAAACTTTTCTTTTTGACTATATTTATAACATTCCATATAATTTAGTATTAAGGTAATACTACAAACGAATTTGTAATTATTAAATTGTGGGTGCGATGATATGTAAGTGAACCTCCTACTGACCTTTTTCTAATTATATTTATAATATTCCATATAATTCACTGTCGAGATAATATTACAAATGAATTTGTAGTTATTAAATTGTGGGTGTTACGAAAATATGTAAGTGATCCTCTTACTGACCTTTTTCTAATTATATTTATAATATTCCATATAATTCATATAATCGAGATAATGCTACAAAACTGAATTTTCATTGTTTCATTTAATAATTAATGATTATTTCATAATTATTTCACAATTTAGTAATTAATGAAATTGTGGATGTTATGTGGATATGTGAGTAAACCTCCTACTGATTCTTTTTATATTAATATTCCGTACACCATAGATTATTATTTCGTAATTACCAGATCGTGAATGTTTATGCAAATTCAAGTTTCCACGAACGAAAGAATGCCAAGATGTCTCGCATTTTTCAATTTCCCACAAGTGCATAAACATTCACTTTTGCTTCAACTCCATCCAAATTTCAATCACGAGACATTCGAAATTAAACGACGTTCTCGAGGAAAGTGCGCGACACGTAACCACGGTCTGAAGAAACGATAATCGACTTACGCTTAACTATCCGTCGATCGGTGCTTCTTGGAGGACTGGCGGTGCCGATTCCGCTCTCGAGCGGAGACGCTCTGTCGGTCGTATCCGGCGACAGGCTTCCGGAGGAAATCTCGTCCATGCTTTGCAGAAGATCCTGAGACGACGACGATGATCTATTGTCGTCGTCCACGGTGTCCTGCGGCGAGCCAGGGTCCAACGTGCTCTCATCTTGCAACGACTGCGAATCCATCTGCGACTCTGCTGTAGACATTCATTTACAGACGAGAATAGTAGTACGACGTTTCACTATCTGCGTCGAGATTAATACTATAATAATTAGCTTCTTGATATTGTTACAATTGACTATTAAATAGTTTCGTTATTTGATGAAAATTTCACAACTCTTGATCAAAAATCAAAAGAATTAGTGGCTCAAATGAATAAAAATATTTTTCTATTTTTTTTTTTTTTAATAAGTTTTTGCTGAAAAAATTAATACTACAGAATGTCAGATTTCATTAGACAATGTATATATCATTATATACAGGGTATAATTCACGTAACACACCTGAAATAATTTTCTAATAATTTTTGTACGTCTAATAAAAAGTTGTTGAACACAAAAACTGTATGGTTATAAGAAAGGCAAAATATATCGTATCAATTTTTTGTGCTCGTTGAAGGATTCCGAAAGTTCGTTTTTATTATTTTTAATTGGATCATGTACTTTTGTGAAACATAAACAGAAGCGGAAGTTGGTAACAACGACTCGAAACGGCAGAAAGAACGGTCGAATAAATGCGAGAGTTTACCTCGTGGTGATTCGCAATCGCTGACCCACGTGAAGCTGGAACTTCTGGAAATAGCTGGCGAAGTTTGCGTCGCCATGTCGGAACAAGCGAGCGAATCCATCGGCGGGCTGTTCGGGCAGCATGAACCAGAGCCGTTTCGGATCTTCGATAACAGGGATTGAAGAGAAATCGGTAGCTGAAAGTATTTCACTTCGTTATTCGAGAGAAGACAGATTTGATCTTGTTGCCTGCAATGTTTTATCGTTCATTTTCTCAGAAATATTATTATTATTAATAATAACAACAACAATTGGAGTTATTTAACTATTATTTAATGATAATTTTCAATTATCAAAATTAGAGAAGCTAAGAGAAAAATTCATTTCTCACAAATCCTACTCTTCTTCATTTTTTTAATTAAAATTTATACCAAGACTATTGATTTACAATTAAAGTCCTCGAATTTACGTCTCGACACAAGCAAATTGTAAATTTTATTAATTTGTATATAATTAAATAAATGTCAATTCAATAGTTAAATATTAAACGACAAACAGTAAGTACAACGATTTTGAATATTACTTGACCGTCACTAGTAATTTCAGGAACAAAAATTCTAAACAGTTTTGAGAGAATTATAATAAATAACGTTAGGAGTTACAGTTTCTTAAGAGGAAAGAAATTTCAAAGAGTCACAGTTGAGGTTGTAATTGGGAACGATTTTCTTTCAGGAAATAAGAAAGAAGATTCGCAAACACTCACCGAACCAGATCTAGAATTCTGCTCGTCCAGCATTTTCTTCACGTCCACGCTCTCCGCCCTGTCAAACTTCCCGCTGTCGACGCTTTCGATAGAATCGGCGTGCTCGTTCTCCGGTAGATCGCAGCTAACGCCCACGTCGTTGCCCCTCGATCTCGACAGTGTGAATTTCTTCAAATCCACAGGGCTAACCTGTCTCACGTCCTTGTCGGACTCTGACAACCTCTTCGCCGATATGTCCGAGCGGAGAGTCAACGGCGAGACCGCTCTCTTCTTCGTCAAATCTTTCAGACTCACCCGGCCGTTCTTCATCCGCAACGTCGTCTCGTTCCCCATGTCGTGAAGGAAGTCCTGATCCGGCAACGAGGAAACTCTGACGAGGACCACGTCGTTCTCCGCGTTCTCGTGGAAAACAGGCGCGTGTTTCTTCCAGAGAAACTTGGAAAACGGCGACTTTTTCTCCTCGGTGGGCGTGACCGGTGCCGATCTCGGCCCGGGCGAGTGATGAACCCTATCCTCGTCCAGCTCGTACTCGGGATCCATCGTCTGATCGTCGTTGCGCCGAATTCTCGCCAGCCTCGGCGCTCTTCTTCGGTTCTGGCAGGCCAAATTCACCGGGAGGCTGGTCTTTCGGTGAGCGTCGAACCGTTGCCTCGGTGGTAGCTTCGCGTTCGACTCGTCCTTAACCGCGTACCCGTCCACGACGACGAGTCGATTACTCGAGCCGATCTGCGCCCTCTCTTCATCCACCTCCTCATTGGATGTCCTCGAGCTTATCTCTACGTGTTTCTTTGGTTGGTCGCAACTGTTTGCAAGGTACTTGACGCGCGTAGCCAAGGCACTGTCCTCCTCCTCTTCGTGCTTCGACGCCAGTTTCGACGATAGACTAGAATTATTCCCCTCGAACCGCCCTCGACAGTCAACGTCTGCCGCGTCTCCACGATCTTGACGATCTTGACATCTAGCGTGTCCAACGACGAGGCGCTGCAGGTCCTCGGGCAAGCTTCCGCTCTTCGTTCGGTCGTTCGAAACGGGCCCCGAGTCTCGCGGCTCGTCGTAGTCCGAGCTCAACAGGAAGCGATCGGCTGTCTCGTCGCTGAACAACTTTCCATTTCGTCGATCACGGCTCGCGTTCCTTGGCCGGGACGATGATCGATCGGTGCTCGCCTCGCACGAGCTGCCAACGGAACTCTCGCTGTCCGATATGCCGAACTCGTTCAACAGCTCCTTGTACTGCACGACTCTGCGCCGTTCTTCCTTGTTCCTATTCTGCTCCAGCTCTCTCGTCAGCTCGTCGATCTCGTTCGCGATGATCGTGTTGAACTTCGACCAATCGCCGACGTCCTCGAGCACGTTGCAGCTCCTGCCGCCACCGACGCCGCAGTTCGGTACGCGTCTGTACGCGAAGCTTCTCGCCGGCGGTTTCACGACGGTAAGAGGATCGACGACACGCGTCACCTCCACCGGCAACGCCGTCTGCGTGGGATACCTCGGCTCGTCGGCAATGATCAGGGGAGTCGTCGGCGCCGACTCGATGATTTCGCCGATCTCTTCCTGTCGAACAGAGAGCAGAGACGCGTTATCACTCGATGGCGATCGTTTTATCTCGTTCTGGGCCTTAACTTAGTTCGTGAGATGTCGGATTAAATTCTAATTTTAAATTATATTTTATTGATGCTAATAGCAAGGGTTGCTGTTTTAACTTTCGTTTGAACGAAAAATTTTAAGTTACATACGATATCGTAAGAGTCCAAATAAATTATTATTCAAAGGTGTATTTCAACCTTTCAGTGACGTATTAAAGTTAATTTTTAGAGAAATATTTTATTTGAGATTAAATAAAATATTTCATTATAGACCTATATTTATATTTTTTTGTATCGTCAATATTCTCATTAATTTATCCATGAATTTATAACAATATTAATGCAATATATAGAATAATTTTTATATCATTTACTATAAAATTAAATGTTTATCCAATTTTAATTATTAGATGAGTTTCAATAAATAATTATTCTATATTAGGAATAATACGTTTAATTTCTCAAATAATTTCATTTGAAGTTTTAATATTTTTAATTTTATTTATAATAATAATAATAATTGGAGATTTTAAATTAATAAATTTAAAATTTTTTATCTTTTTAGAGCCTTATCTCAATTTCTTAGAAAACAATTTTTTTAACCCGATCACTACAATGTATCAAGTTCAAGGTTTCTGCACGAAATTTGTTACTCTATTCTAACAAGAATCCTTAAAAGGTTCGCGCAGGAAATAATAATTTTGGGGACCGCGATACAATTATCGACAATCCTGGGAAATATTAATGATTCCACCACGGCGAAAAAAGTGCACTAACGGTAGATAGATTCGTAAAATCATTCGTTGGAATTTTCACATTTAATCAAGCGTACTTCATTACTAGTAATCGTGTGCGACGCATTTCATTAATTACACGTTTGTATGACATTCTCAGTTTCACAGTCTTCCTGCAGAGTACGTGCAGAAACCTGTATTTAATTAGTAATTAGTAATCGAAGGAAATGATTATCCATCAGAGAACGGGGAAGCAATTTCTCCGTGATTTCGCGAGAAATTTTTAAACACCAATATATACATATACATATTTCCTTACCAGGCAAGAATCCGATCGCAGAAGCTAACTAGTAGAATGAATCTTCCATCGCCAGACGCGCGATCAACGAAGAGAAACAACGGCACTTGAACGAAAGGGAACCGTGTAATACCCGTAGCAAGAGTTGATGGGATCGGCATTGGCATTGCGAATCCTCCGAAGCTCGTTTCGCTCGATTATGCTCGAGTAAGCGTCGGAGGAACGTCCCGAACGCATCTCGAAATATATAATAGCAACGTCGAACTGAACCGTGTCAACGAAATCACAATCGAATACAGATTGGAGAAAATAATAACAGCCTATAGAGGATGTTTCTAAAATCATGATACGATAGGCCAGAACGTGTAAAAATAAATAAAGAAAAAAGAATGAAAATTTTGAAAGTATGACGCTTCGTTCTCGAGAGAATTCGAGAGTTTGGAAATTGTTTCAGGTGTGGTGTGGAATTTAATTAATTCTAGACGCGGCAGATATAGAATATATAAACAGGAAAATAGAATAAAATTCGTTTACGAGGACATGTGTGTCTACTTTTCAGAAACTTTTCACTAAACATATTCAGTCTTTTTTTGGAGTTGTAAATCAAAAAATTTTTATTCTCCGTTTTCTTATTTATGTTTGATACGTGAGATACTCTCCTATTAATTATTCTCTTCTGTCACGTCCAATTGAATTAACTAAATTCAAGTACACTCCGGATGCAGATTTTCACGAGAATTCTATCTCTTTCTTCTTGCTTATTTTTGCACGTAGAATGACACGACTTCGACAACACTCTAACAACACTCTAACAAGTATATAATTTGTCGTACTAGTGTTTATATGTATTTATCGAAAGGTTTTTTCAGCTTTCAACGGGCAACGGTCCCGTCCCATTGATAAATGTTAACGCGAGAAACGGAACTAATTTACGCGAGGTAGACAGCATTGAAATCGCGTTCGACGCGCGTGTTAAACGGTTCGTAATGAAGCGGTCATAACGCCAACTGCAATGACACGAGTACATGAACGTATGTATACCTCTTATTGCCCGATGCTCGAGGAAAAACCGAAGTTAGGAGACCGTTCGTCTTTTTCCATTATTCTCGGGTGACGTTGCCTCACGGCTGGCCATAGAAAGTGATGCTGCCTCTAATTTATGGGCCGATCATCGCCGTGGACGAGGGTCAATTAACCTCGATCACCGGTTTAGAAACCTGTTCAGTTTGTACGACACTTGTTTGACTTTTCTATCCGTTCGACTGCCGCTGATCTTACTACGGACGCGTTTCGCCAATCCGGTAGTGTTGTTTGTCACCACGCGGACGTATAATGGATTTGTGATTTCGAATAGTTGAGAAAACGTTACGCAAGCGATAATAACTCGACTTCCGGGAAGGTAGAATTTAATTCCTGTGTCCGCCTCGCGTATCGCAAAAACATGAAATTCGCATGTAATTATAAAAAAATATTTATCGCGTTTTTTCAATCGGTCTCGTTCTCTGACTTTTGCTTTCAAAAACTCAGTCTATTTCCCTTACTCGTATTGAGAATTATATGTATGCTAATTGATCTCAGATTGTAGACGATACAGACAAATTCGTAAAAGAGACTCTCAATTTGAATAAATTTCCTCGTGCTTTATTTTTCTATTATGCTGTGAAATGTGCTTTCTGCACTTGTCCATTGAGGATTATATATATATATATTGCTTTAGTGTGTACGATGCTTTACGAGTGTTGGCTTCACTGTTTCCGAAGTGACAAAAATGACCTACTCGGGTTCAAAATTCAGGACGCAACCTATTCACCTGTAATTAAACATTTTGGTACGGCTTTCTCTTTGACAGATTGTCAAAACTCTCAATTTTTCATCGCGGTGCGAACGAGCCTGAGCTTCCATCCATCAAAAACTTTCGAACTGCCAAACGATCTACGGTGAAACACACCGTAGAGAAGTCGGTAACGAAACCGAATAAAAACAAGAAAAATCCCCCTTTATTTCAAGCTCATCAATCATTAACCGTACACGCTTGCAGCGTTAGATCCACGTTGCAGCAATTTTAGAGCTGTGTACAAGTGTCGGATCCGGTTGTTTTTCCCATCGATTTCTCTTTTCCGTACGATAACATTTTCATTTCACGTCGTATCAATCGTCCGGTGTTGTCTTTAGGCGAACGTACGTGCGTTTACCTAACCCCTTCAGCGAAACAACCGTACGTTTACGGAGCGAATAGAATACGAATTCATTTATTGGCATTTATAGGATCTACAACCTCTTTTGTCTACCAGTTTTCAGAAGAAAATTGCATTTGACGTTTTATGGTCAATAGCGAAGAATCGAAGAGTATAACGAATCCTTACTTAAAATAGTGGTTCGCAATTTTCTTGGCCGTGTGACAAACTGCTCCAAAAGTGAATTTTTGACGTGGAGAACGTCTTAAAAGACTCCTTTAATTAGGGAGCAGTTGATGGCATAGAAATGCAAAAAATTTATTGTTAATGACTCATTCTCGAATTGTCCTCCTGTTGGACGTGAATTTAGAAGATTTTCATTCATTTCTCACTGCTCACAATTCCGAAAACAGTCCACGAATCGATCAAAGTTTCCGCCAGGAAATTCGAGGACCAACTCGACCTTGTGAAAACACGTTCGACAGCGATCGCCAACGAAGGAAAGAACCGCGTCACGTATCGAAGCGATCTATCAAATAAGCTCGGCCGTTAATGAAAAGCTTGATTAAATCTACTCGCGGCTAGGTGGAATTGCGATTCCGCGCCTGAGATACGCGGCATCTGTCATTAATCAAACGGGCGAATAGTCATTGATGCACGCGTTTCCTTTTAAAGAGACCCTTCGAACGCGTCGGCACCACTCGCGGACCCATCGAACACCAGATGAAACTGAAAAATTGCCTCCGTCCCGTTCCAATCGTCTTCGCGTCTTTCATTTTTCTTTTTTTTTTCTTTTTTTTTTTTTTATCTTGCTGCCAGCACAAGGGGCTGTTGGCGCAAGAATATTAAATAATCATGGTCTGAATTCCTAGTTGGACATTCTTTTGACTGTTTTCATTTAACTGTTTACTAAATCAGAGCTCGCGGGCGATTTTGCTAAATGCAAAAATCTAGATTCCATTTTATCCGTAATTCGTGCTTGAGTAGTATTTTTTTCATAAACAAATGTCCAAGAATTGATTTATTGACATTTAACTTGAAGAAACTTATAGAAAAATACATTTTAAATGTTAATTGTTTAAACGAAAAGCTTTTTTGCAAGATGGTATACAACATTGAATTCGTTACTAAGAAAACACTAATTTCAATCAATTTAGATGAAAATTATCTTCATTAATTCCCGACATATTTGACAAAATATGCTTCCCGCACTTCCAACTTTGAGGGTAGTTTTCACCCCTTTAACATCGATGAAAAAAAATTATGCCAAATTTTTACATATGGAATCTCGACATTTATCGAACGCGAAGTAAAGTATTCTCTACAAGTAAAAATTATCACTCTCGATTAGACAAGACCAGCTCACAGTTCACACTAATCCCTGTAAAATTAAGTACACTTTGGAATACCCAGAAGCCAAAATCGACAGTACAGCCATGAATAAGTCTCAACAAGAGACTTTTATACTTCATTCCGTCACGAGAATAACCTCGTCTCGTTTCGTAGCTTCTTTCAGCCTCTTTAGGGCTCGAAATTATCTCGAACTAACTGTAAATTCAATTTGCACGAGGTTACGATCGACGGGCAGGTTGATTCAATGGCGCTATCGCGCGACGGTATCGATTGCAATCCCCGCTGCGAGGATCGACACCACTTCAACGTCCAGAGAGAGAGAGAGAGAGAGATCTCGAGAGATCTCGGCCGGTTTGCTCGAATCAATCATGCCACCTCGCGGATGGATTTCGTTCGTCCGTTGTTCGTA